AGCTCTGGTAGCATAGTGGCTAAGGCACTTGACTGCTAACCAGAAGGCTGGCGGTTCAAACCCACCAGCCACTCCTCAGAAGGAAGATGGGGCAATCTGCTTCCATAGTGATACTGCCTGGGAAAACCAAGGAGGGGTCGCTATGAGTCGTGTCTGACTTGACTGCACATAACAACAACAGCAGTAAGAATCAAGTCTTAATGTTATCAGCAGGCCTTCTTCCCTGGTACCCAGCACCCATGAGTAGCTGCAGGGGGTTCAAAATGGTACAGTAAATAATGTTTATCTTCAGAGAACTTTCATTATCATTGAGGAGAGACATCTTACATGAATGAAATATTTAGCATTATAAGACAAAGGATGAGCCCCTCCCCATATGTTTGCCTTAGAGGCATATGTACTCTCTGTCTCACAGCCTCACTGACTTCACAGCTTTCCTTTATGGGTAAGTCTTTATACCCACAGTATAGAGGCCTAGTTGGGATGAGAAAGGGTAAGATGGCAGTTGTCCAGGAAGCCTTCTCCCACCTCTGCTTTCAGAACAGTCCTAGGAGGACTAGAGAAGGGGCGTGGAATCTGATAGCTTGAGTAACTCTCCTAGGAGACAGGATTTCTTAGACATTTCTTTCTTCCACATTTCAGTATTTAGCACTTCAAAAGTGTTTTGTTCCCAAATTCACAGATTTTCATTTTCCGTAGCACCTCTCCATATATACCTTCTAACTGGGAAGGTGTCCTCTCTCTATCTATAGCTTGTCTATATATCTGTATTCTTTTCTGTATACCTTTTACAAAATGAACCAGGGAAAAATTAGGAGGTAATTTTGGGAGTGATATAATAACTCAGTACCATTAATAGCTTTGGTCTGATAACAAATCATTGTTTATTGAAAGATGAGGACAATCTGGCATTATGCTAGTTTCATTTAGTTCATTTTGTCCTCATACACTTCTGTGAAATAGGACCTCCCATAATCCCCATTACACAAATGATGAAACTGACATTTAGAGAGGTTACTTGCTAAAGGCCACACAGTTAGTGGTGGTGCTTGGACTTGATGCCAGTGTCTGAAAACTCCTTAGTATGCATCTTCCCATAGAAAGAAAACAAAAAGATAAGAATAGTCTTTTGGAAGATTGTGTTGATTATCTTGAGTTTAAAACGAAGAATGATTGTAAAGGTTATAATGTAGTCTAGTGTCTTAAAGTGATATTTTAACCTGTCTCTCAATTTGGAACCATTGTGAGCATAGTTGCTGAACTCTTTGAATTAAAAATCAAATTGATGTATTTCAACAGGATGCATTCAGTTTGCTAGCTTACTCAGATCCTTGGAACAGCCCAGTTGGAAATCAGCTTGACCCAATTCAGAGAGAACCTGTGTGCTCAGCTCTTAACAGTGCAATATTAGGTAAGTAAAACCAAAAAGCACCTTCAGCTAGACTCTCTCAATGTTTTGGAAAGGGTATTTGTGTTAACATTCATATTTTGGTTAAATCATAAGGGAAAAGTTTTCTACCTTTTTAAAATGGAAAATTACCCAAAATACAGAATTTTTCCTCTTTTATCTTAGTTCCAGATTAAGTGGATTCAACTGGAATAAAAACAGAGTGGGATGCACCTTGGAATGTTTGGAAAATAGAAGTTTTGTGTGTAAGCATTTCTGATAGCCATGAAGGTCTGCTGCTTCTCATTTAGAATAAGTTCTTTTGGTGGTCTTTGTGTTTAAAGTTCAAAATATTACTCTACCCAGGACAGCAGTTCCCTTCGTAACCTTCTTTAGTGAAAGGCATTTTCTGCCACTCATTTCTAAGCTGGGAATCAGGAGTTGGCATTCTCTTACATTTTTACTCGGCTAGACTGTCTTTCTTTCTCAGACACAGGAGAGAGAAGGATGTGAGTGTCGATGGGAAGATGAGTAGCAGAGGATTCAAGCCTAAGGGCCTTTTGTTTTTCTAAGTTTTCAGGAGCTGAGAGTTGTGAGTGTCACAGAAAGTGGTGAGAGGCAGTGAAGGGACTGAAATGTGGTTGAACAGAGGCTGAATAAAAGGATAGACTTGTGACTTTGAGAGCCCAGGTGGGAAACAAAAGTATGAACTCAGGGTAGCACAGAACTATTCTATAGAGTTTAATACATTTTCTTCAGTGGATTAATCAGAACATAATTTGGCTGCTGTGGAAGGAAGTTAGGAACATTAATGAAAAATAATGTTCTAATAATTGGTCCAAAGTAGGTAAAGAGTGAGACTAGAAGACATGAAGAGATCAGGAAGAGGAGATATTGACTAAGTATAGGAGCGGGTTGAGTGAGAACAGAAAGAGAGAGTGAAAGAGCTTGACTATCTGAGATGTTTGAATTTGATCTGTTAGATCAGGATTCCTAGCTGGTGACCTCCTGCTACCATGCTCCCCACGTTTTTGCTTGAGATATTTCCAATGGGCAGGGGTAACTTGAGCCACCCATATCACAGCTCCCATCATGCTTAAAATACAGGCACAAGGGGCTTCCAGGTGACTTGGGTGCCCAGTCAGCACTAACCATTGAGGTCAAGTTATATTTGCATTTAAATAAATTCAGCTGGGTCCTTTCAAAAAAAAAAGGTGGGTGAGGAAGAGAGGAAGAAAATTATAATTTAAATACACTTACTCCTCACATATCAGCTATCTTGTTATCTGACATTTCCTATTTATAATGACGTAAAAAATCTACTATCCAACTATTTTGCCCATTAACAATGCAATAACTAATGCCAAGGTCCCTGATGGGGTCCCTGACTGACAGGTCCATGTGCATGTGAAAAGGAAGCTTACAGTGCATAGTATTTCACTGGTCGAGGGGAGAAGGGGCACAGTCTTCCTGAGCTGCAGGTGCTGAATGAAGCGACTGTGGGAGGCACTGTAGTGGGGCCAATGGGAACAGGACACTGCCTGGCGGGTCCTTTGTGCCCACAGTGGGCTGAGACCAGGGCAGCAGCAGCTGATGTCCTGCAGGGGTCTGGGAGGAAGTGGGACTCGGGTCTGGCCCCAGCTCCCAGGCCTGTGAGAAGCAGCAGGGATCGGATGGGTAATGGTCAGAAGAAGCCCTGAGATGGAGCAGTCAGGTGCCCAGGTCCCATGGGACCCGTGTCAGCTCATTAGCCACCCATGCAGCCACTTAGGTTTTCTCGATGCCCTCTCCTGGACATGGGTGGGGTCAGTGGGTAAGTGGCCAACAGCAGCTGCAGTTTAAAGTCAAGGGCTGGGGCTGGGGCTGGTCATCACAGCCTTGCAAAAAGCTCTGGATTGTCAGTTCCCATGAGGGTGGAGAAGGAAGGGCTACCCAGCAAGAGCCAGGAGATGCTTGGATGAGGGGCCAGTAAGGGGAACCCAGCAGGTGGCATGTATCACCTTTGCAGCACCCAGACCCCCCCCCCTCCCCCAATCCCTGACAAAGCTACCAGTGGCATCTTGAGGTTGTTGAGGGGATGAACTGGAGCCACCCATCCTGAAAATACAATGAGGGCAGGAGAGGGAGTAACCCGAGGATGGGGAAGTGGGCAGCACTTGGGTTACCCTGGCTTTGGAAAACTGGGTACCCTCTACTGCAGGCAGGGATAGGGACCAAGCTCTCCTGAGGCGATATAGGGGAGGGGGAGGCAGTGGTGGCAGGTGACTTCAGCAGGGCCAATAAGGTGTGACTGAAAATATCTACTGCACTTGACACTTAGATGAAAAATTACTGAGTATAGGTGTGAGGGGTAAGGTGATGTGGTCATTCTCCATTTTACCATAACATTCATTGTATTTTGCATGACAAACTTAACCTAGTAGGTAAATGAGGAGTGAGTGTAGTGATTCCTACTGCTCTGTCACCCAGTGAGGTGTGAGCATGCAGTCAGAGAAACTTGAATTTACTGTTCTCTTGGTTGGTTTCTTTTCCTATCCTGTGAACAACTGACTGTAAAGTATGATTATATTAATGTACTTAACAAATGGACTTTAACTGCACATTTTGTGAATTTATATGACTGTAGGGCTGTTTACATAAAATTATAATTTGTAGGCAGTTCAGGGGTTCCAAAGGTAACTTACATGAGTAACTTTTTACCTGACTTTAGAATCTAGTTCCCCAGGTAGAATGGGACTTCACTCGAGTTTAGGACTCTATATGGTGTCTTTTAGGTTTGGGAGATTTTAGCAACGTTTCAAACTATTTTGTGAAGATTAAGGCAGTGCCGCAAAGAATAGATTAGAGAGTACTTTGACAGGGAGACTCGTAATGAGGGCCAGGGCTAGTATGGCAGGAATGTGAAGGAAGCAATGAAAAAGTATTCACATCTGAGTCTTTGTTTTTTCTTTGCCCTTATAAAATTCATTATTTGTAAAGGTCTGATACCGAGGTTTTTAAGTGTCTTTTATGTTACAGTTTTCTCAAATTGAGAATTTGTATATAATAATAAAAGAGAATCTTTCTAGGTTAACTTGTTGACTTTTCTTTGGTTATACGAAATTCATTTCGCTCTGTTGGTAAAAATAGAAGACTTAGTGACAATACTGGGATTGTAGAGCAAATTATACTTCTGGCTTACTATAATTATATTTGAAATTACCACATTATAGATAATCATGAAGACCTAATTGCTTTGTATTTTGGGAATAGAGATTTTGGAAGAAGTTTTGGAGAAAAGTGATCAGTTTTCTTAAGCGTTTTTGATTCCTTGGGTTAACTTCAGAGGAATTAAATTCTTAAGTATTAACATTGCTGAGAACTTTTATCCAAGTTATATGTATTCTTACGTACTGTGCTATATTATGTAGATTCAGTTACAATACTTAAATGTATTACGTTTATATAATTCTTATAAAATTAATGACAGGTATATTGCTTAATACGTGTGTGTGTATACATAAATATTGTGCTATATTACGTAGGTGTATGTTCAGTTTAATATTATAATAATAAAAATAATTAATAATGCTTAAAGTTACTATATTGATTGTATGTAATCCCTGCTTAAGATGCCAAAAAAAATCTTATAACAATAATGTGGAAACCAGCTGGGAGTAGTAGTAACAGTAGCATCATCAAAACCTGTCTAATTTCAGGGAGGATAATCATCAGGATGAGGATCAGCCCAAAGCTGATCCCTGTGAGATGGAGGTCAAGCATGCCTCCGTTCCCCAAACTTTTTACCAATTCTGACACCAGCCATCCTTCCCATGGCACACTCAACTTCTTTTCTGGGTTCAGTAATCTGTTGCAATGGCCACACAACTCAAGGACCATATTTATGGTTAATGAGGGAAGAGGGTACAGCACAGGATCAGGAAGCATGTGAGCAAAGTCTCCCATCTTCATTGTAGGACAGCTTTCTGGGGCTAGCTGCTTAAATGTATAAACTCCTTGTCAATTTCAAGGCATGGCATTCCCACCAGGGCCATGAACTGACCAGTCCCCTCTTGGTAGGCCACAGACATGACACTTCATTTGCATAGTAGGTATGCCTAGGTTACAATTTACTTCATTTGCATAGTCTGTTGACCAATCCCTGCAAGGTGCACAGCAATCGCAGGGCAAGCTGCAGCCCAGGACCACACTAAAAGTATCAAGCCAAGTTGTTTACAGTGTACCCAGGAAATGTCAGTTAACCTGGACAAATGTAACAAGCTCTTTGCAATATAAAATAGGGCAAAAGGAACTCCAGGGTTTGGAGAGGCAATCTCTCAAGCTGTTTTTCTCAAGAACCAAGGCATAAAGGAACTCATTTCACTATAGATGGTTATAACCAGATGTCTGCCTTGCCAAAATCGAATTATAATTAAATGCAGTACCTTTAGATGCTAACCTTTGAGCAAGGTTATGTCCCTGTGAACCTTCAAGAGGGAATTCCTTTTAAGTGTTTATTCCCTGTCATGACATTGATTTTATAGTGAAAATTATTGTTGATTCAAGGTGTAAGGCTGAATTACAAAATCAGCCCTACTTAGTTGTTGTTGTTATGTACCGTTGAGTTGGACCCAATAGTGACCCCTCCTTGGGTTTCCGAGGCAGTACCACTACAAAAGTAGATTGCCCCATCTTCCTTCTGAGGAGTGGCTGATGGGTTTGAACTGCCAGCCTTCTGGTTAGCAGTCAAGTGCCTTAGGCAATATGCTACCAGAGTCCTACATAGAGTAGGTAAAAAAACCTTTATCACCATCAAAATTTAGCTTAAAAAACGGTGTCTTCCCACAGAATACTAACCTTGTGTACCTTTTCTTGAGTATTTTCATTTTTATATCCTTGTTTTCATATGTACCTGAAGTCCTAAACTTCTTCCTTTGTTTTATTCTTTCTGGTATGTTCTTCTTTTCCTACCATCACATTGACCAATCTCTAAACCAAAAGTAGAATTAAACTGTATGGAGTCTTAACCAGCAATGTGTCAATATTCTATCTACCCTTATTAAATCAGCAGGGCCTACAAAGGACTGATGAGTAATTTAATTAAATTTAGACATCTGTACATGGTTTTCATAGAAATTACCAGCTTCTGTGAGTTGGGTTCCTTTTATTGTGAATTCATTTTTATCATTTCTGTCAAAGACCAAATTTTGATTACTGCATTTGTACTGTAACTGACAGAGAAACCGCTGGTATGTAGGGTCTCGAAAATTTTTATTCACAGTTCAAGAAGTTTGAACTAAAAATTGAAAATTAATTCCTCCATGCTTGTAGGATGGTTTTGCTCTCTCACAGGAAACAGAAAATGGAAAGGGTGCCCACCATATTCCAACCTCAGGTCACTGTTAAAAGTTACATCATTTTCTTTATAGTTAATATGGAAGTAAAAGTTTTTGAGTATCTGACACTTTAAAATGTCTTGCTGATGTCTATTTTAACCTTTTTTCCTCAGAAACTCACAATCTGCCAAAGCAACCTCCACTTGCCCTAGCAATGGGACAGGCCACACAGTGTCTAGGACTGATGGCTCGGTCAGGAATCGGATCCTGCGCGTTTGCCACAGTGGAAGACTACCTACATTAGCTATGCATTAAAGGAGCTCAAACTTATATTGTGGCATATAGGCAACATGGAAGTAGACCAGCTCTGCTGATTGGAAATTTAGATTTTTTAATTATGTACTGGGGACAGGTTTTTGTCGCTTTACATTGCTTCCTAGTTTACAGCATGATGCAAATGATTTTCTAACTTAGTGTTAGGAGAAATTATTTTCCATCTTATAACCTCTTAGTTGTCTAAGAGTTTAATATTACTGAATTTCAGACGTTCAAATTGATCATCACAAATCCTTTAAAACAATTACCTAAAAGAAACCAAAAAATCCTGCCGCGTTTGTGGGGGGGAGACGGGGTAAGGAAATGGAACAAGTTGTGTTTGTGTTAGCATGTGGGTGATGTAAACTTCAAATTGGGAGATGTTCCGACCCCCACTTCCATATATTCAATCAGTGTAACTTGCAAAATGCATAAACATCCGACAGTTTGAATTTATAGTGTTGATGGAAGAAATCATTTTTAATGTGTACTGTAAAACTTGAAATACTCAGGAGCTGAGTGAACATGTTTGTTGCTACTTACAATCCCGACCTGTTAGTCCCAGTAGTTTTGTTTTAACATGGTCTTTTTCAGCTTTGTTTCCTGTTTAACTACAGATGACTTCTGTTGTAGACTCACAAGTTTAACTGTTGTATTATAACAGTATTACCTGTCAACAGTGTGGTTATGACCTTTATTTATATAAAAACCAAATATTTAGTCAATTTACCGTGTCTTAATTTAATCTTTGTACACCTTCCATTTTTAAGTGCTTAAATGAGTACTATATTGCAATAAAAATGTAGTGATATAATTAACCAGCCATTAAAAATTTACTTCTACAGATACTAGAGTGTCAACTGAGTTTATATACTAGGTACTTGTATACTCTTAAAATATTAGAGCAATTAAAATTGATAGTTTTCTACTATCAATTATGAGCTCTACAACCTAAGACTGCCTTCAGTTTCCTAGCCACCATGGATTAGGGACAAAACTCATGCTGTGGGTGGTAACAGAAACACAACATGTGAGACTTTGCTAGTCAAGCAAACCCCCAAACTGGTTAAAAGTAAAATTAAACAAGCTGTTCAACAAGATAACTGTGTCTTTTGGTTTGGTGATGGAGATGTGTTGGTTGACCATTTGTACACTGAAGCTTGAACCTCCTCTAAAAGGAATAGATAATTTATGTAAATTTAGATTTGGTACTTCTTCCCAACTCTTATTCCATGAGGCTGTCCATTAATATCACAAAGCAGAAGTCTGTAAAACAAAAAGACATCTGAGGGACTAAGGCATCTGACAGCTGCAACTGAAAGACTTCCTGGAGATTCATTTCCTACTGTTTCCACCCACCACACTGTGGCGGGGGAGGGAGACAGAGAGGTGCTGTTACTGGTGTGGGTGTTACTTATATTTCTTTGAATGGATAAACGCTTTCAAGAAAGGAAAACACAATTTCTTTTAGAGTGCTTTTTCTTACAGGGCCTTGTAAGACTACAAGGTGTGATTGATTATACTCCAAAAGGATGAAATGTGGCCAAGCACTTCCCCAAATAGCTTTATGATTTTTATAATGACTCCTTAAAATGAATTATGAATGATTTATTAAAAATTTTTCCAGAAAAAATATTCTCAATTAAATAACTCCTATACAGAAAAAGTACTGATTCTTCCACTTTGAGTCACTCGCCCAGATGCTTTCATCTTTCTGAACATCCACCGTCTTTTAAACCTCTTGGCATTTTGTTTTCTCTGGGCTCCTAAAAGAGAAAATTGGGTACAGTAAGAATATTAGGAAACACATAATTCAAAATGTCACTTAAAGATTCCCTTTAATGAAAATCCCCTTAATGAAAATACTAAATTAGGTCTATTAGATTATACGTTAGATATACACACGTGCTATGCTGACCTGTTTTCCAGAAGCAACTAGGTATTAATACAGAAACCATTATAAGGAAAAAATTATAATATTTTTTAATTACCTGAGCATTATCCCCTTATAAAGAACATGATTCAAAAGTTAAAACTATCAGAGCTAAGAAAATAAAGCTAAATCTTACCCCAAGTATTATTCAAGAACTGGGCTGCAGCCTTTTTCACTGGCAACCTCTTGTTGGCAAGAGACAGGAACTTATTCACTAGGAAAGACCATTAATTGTCATTTCTTTGCCTTATTTACGACAAAAAGTGAGAAAACAGTACATAAGTAAATTACCCGTAGTTCTGTTGGATCCTGGACCATATAAAGAATTTTGTATGAAGGCTTTGGCTGCTTGTTGCCTTGCATCTCTCAGATCTTGGTCTTTGAGCCTTAGAGCCACGCAGCTTTTATTCGGGCTGGTAGTCAGTACAAAAGACCAAGATGAATGAGGACAGATACATGCTTACTGTATTTTTGTTAACTGTTTCATAAATAATAATAATCTAAATACTAATTTTGTATATGTACAGGTAAGATAATGAATAAAACTAAATTAGAGGCTACATGAACAAAGGACAACTCTTAATTACCTGACAGACTGTACTTTTTGTACTTTAGGTTTCTTGGAGTCACTTCCTTTCTCATGTTCATTTTTCTTTTTTTGCAGATTAACTAGAAAATTAAGTTTACATGTTCTAATCAGCATTATAATAAAAGTAAATTGGGAATATTTACTAGAATTCATTTAAGTTATCTCTACATATCAACTTGGATGTGAGTTTTACTTGTCAGAAATATAGGGAACAGGCTCAAGTTTACCTGGGCCAGGCCTAAGGCCTGTCTCCCTAAAGGGCCAATAAGATAAAATTGAAAATATCTGCAAATGCAGTTGACATTTGTTGTTATGTGCCGTCGAGTTGGACCTGACTCATAGCAGCCCATCTTTGGGTTTCCGAGGCAGTATCACTACAGAAGTAGATTGCCCAACCTTCCTTGTGAGGAGTGGCTGGTGGGTTTGAACCGCCAGCCTTCAGGTTAGCAATCAAGTACCTTAGGCACTATGCCACCAGAGCTCCTCAGTTGACATTTCCATGAAAAATTACTTAGAATAGTACATACCTTCTTTCAACTTTCCTGGTGATTTCTTTATGCTAAGAACAAAGAACCAAAAAAAACCTGATTAGAATGGCAGACAGCAATTTCACTTGGTTTTGCAAAAGATACCCCTCCTTTCATTACTTATCGTCTTCAGTTTTTCTTAGAACCTTTAATCAGTTTTTGAAAAGCAGAAGTCATTCTCTGATGTATCACTCACTTACTCCCTGCCACCTACTCCCAATTAACAAACTAGTATATACCACAGTGGGAGTATCTGCTCAATTTAAAATATGGACCCTATTGGCAGGCTTCCAAAAAAAATAAGACTGCTGTCCTTAATGGAGTGAAACTCTAATAAGTTATGTAACAGTATTCAAAATAAGCTAAAGGTAGCAAGCCTGCCTCACTTTATTTGAGGAAATCACAAAGGATTCATTCAACAGTTTAGAAACAGAAGACAAGAATGAAGACAAGGGCCAGCTTTAAGGAGTCTCTAATGAGACAAAAGTAAACTGCTATGAGTTGCCTATAGAAAAACACTTGCAAGGTAAAAAAGCTACACAAAGGAGAAAGTGATGGGGAAAGGGCAAGAAGACGTGACACTTGAGCTTGCTTTTGAAAGGTAAAAGAGAATTTGCTACCAAATAGATTTGGTTGGTTGTATAATACAGTTAGAATCTGAAAAAGTCTGTAACAGTTCCTTTAAATACTTTTACTGTAAATTTGAAAACCACTTACCTGAAGTGTTAAGGGGTCAAACTTCTAAACTTAGACCATTAAAAACCAAAAACCACACTCAGTACTGTTGAGTTGGTTCCAACTCATAGCAACCCCTCCTTGGGCTTCTGAGGTGGTACCACTGAGGAAATAGATTGCCCAGCCTTCCTTCCGAGAAGTGGCTGGTGCATTTGAAATGCCAGCCTTCTGGTTAGTAGTCAAAAATGCCTTAGGCACTATGGCACCAGAGAAGAGACAGAAAAGATAGGAAAAAACCCCAGCCATTTAGAAGTTTAATATAGTAGGGTCTGACTGATTCCATGGGATGGGGGAGAAAAAGGATTACTGTAGTTTTTGTGTTATATAACCAATTGTTCAGTGATGGCAAAGCTGCTAAATGAAATGGGGAACAAGAAGGCTGGGCAGGTTGGTGACAGGTAAAGCAAGTTGGGGGAAGCTGAGTTCAAGGAACCTGTGGATAAATGTCTGTAGCCTCACTAAATGATACGTTTCAAAGCAATTTGATTCAGTCCTATGTACCCTGCCCCTAGCACAATGACATAAGCTCAAAAATATTTACTGCATAAATACACTGGGATCAGGGGCTTAGAAGCTGGAGTTCCACATGGGAATGAGCAAAAATAAGTGGCAAGAGCAAGAGACCAAAAAGAAATGGAACATTTCCCTTCACATTTTCTACCAAATTCAAACATCTGCTAATTTAAGCTCTACAATGTCAATCGCATGGTTCCAAATAAATGTTTGTACTCGTGTGTAATTCCACTATTTAAAAAACGGTGTAATATGCAAGTGTAAGGATAAGATCTAGTACTTACTTAGCTTGGGAAGCTGTAGTTAACTTCTCTAGAAGAGCATCTGGAAGGAGTTTTCGTTTCTATAAAGACATTCAAAAATCCGTAAAAGTCATGTGCATGGCAATATGTCAGAAGCTGCATCTGAAATTATGGATTTTAAGAATAGCCCTACCTACATCTGGGCAGATAAATGAACCAAGTGAATACTACCCCTAATATCACTAGGATGTCAGAAGATCGGGCCCATGAAAATCTTTGAAAGATCAGAACTTATTCCGAATTCTCTGGAAGACTTGGTGAAAATAGGGACCGGGCCCACTGTACTCCAACCCTCGGGTCGCTGTTTGTTTAAATTGAAAGCAGTTAAGTCATGTCCATCTGGAGGCCCTGTCAATGACAACATTTCTGTAGCAAGACTACTAAACAACAGACACGAAAACAATCACGTTTGTATAGCCCTTTATTTATAAAGCACCTCATGTAATTCCCACAGCAAACTAGTTTGGGACAAAGAAACTACCTCAGCGAGACTGATAAGACCCCTTCAGTGTCAGCTGAGCATCTAACTCTGTGATTTCAGATTCACAATTCTTCCCACTCCCATATTCAAAATACAGTACGAGCATCCTTCTTTACACCGTTGTCAGGATGTATATTACTGACTAGTCCCCACTCCAATATCCTTCCAGTCCAAATGGCATCAAACGGGGGAATTCTACCTCGAGCTCTGTTATTTTAGGAATGAAACGCCTCCCTACCCTCTAACCTTCTGTTCGATGAACAGCTCCTCGCGTCGTTTCCTCTTCTCCTTCAGAAGAGTTTTATCCCTGGGAGAGAGGATGACAAGTCAGCTTACTGACGGACAAGCGGGACGGGGAAGGGACAGGCCGCGGACTCCGAACCTGCGCGCGGTTTCCCGCACTCGCCGCTCCTCTTCTCTCGCTTCCGCCTGGGCACTGGCGAAAGTCAGTTCCTCTGGGGCCTCGTCATCAAACTCATCGTCCCCTTCCTCATCTTCCTCCAGCGGCTCAGCGGCCGCGCCGCTGCTGGGCTGTCCCAACAGCAGGCCGTGCTCCGCCGCCTCCTCCGATGCCGGCTGGCCTTCATCCACCATCGCCTCTGCCGACGCCGGGGTACGAGACGGGCGCGGCCGAAGCTGCACCATGGTCCACGCAGCGCAGGCCCGTCTGACCGCTGACCCGGAAGCAGCTCTGAAGGCGAAAGGATTTGAAAGAGCAGGCGACAGGGGATTCCACCGCCCTCTGCAGGTTCGGAGACCTCAGCTT